CGACTGGCTGGAACAAGAATGTGCGCAGCCTGCACAGCCAGCTTACGGCACCTCCATAAGGCTATGCGCACATTTTTGTGCGCACAAACGGCAAAGCCCGTAGGCTTCACTCGCCCAAGGCCAAGCAATATCCAGCACGACTATTGTGTGTGTGTGGCATGCTGAAACAATGGTCAGTTGACAGCCTGATGTTGCGCATGCACAAAAGTGTGCGCCCAAACAGTACAGCCCTTGACACAGCTGTCGGCCAAAACAGAACTTGAAGAGTGTAAATGCCCCACGGCGCTCCTAGACGAAGAACGTTCAAGCGACATGACTGCTGGATCCCCAATGAATGATGCATCTATAAAATGCTGTTCCTGGGGTCATTCTACAAACACTGAAGAAGTACCCCTGGATAATTGACACAGGGATGTGAATTAATGATTTTATAGGGCGTACATGCTTTGGAACATGTGCATATAAGGAACATGTGGATTCCTATTTTATAGAAAAAAGTGTACTGAAAGGTCACGAATGTTTGTGAGTTTGGAAATTCGGTGCCGGGTGCCGGTGCTGGTGCTGTGCGCTGGCTGTGCACGTGGTGGAGACATGGTGCCGGGTGCTGGGCGCTGGTGCTGTGAGCTGGCTGTGCACGTGGTGGAGGCCCGCCGCTAAGTGCCGGGTGATGGTGCTGGGTGCCGTGAGTTGGCGTGCCGGTGCTTGGTGCTGGTGCCCGCTTCTGGCAGTGAAGTGATAACAACCGCCGTTTTGACAGTGAAGGGCGCCAAACCGCCGCTTGTAGGAGTGAACAGCGACAAGCCGCCGCTTCTGACACTGAAGTGCCGGCATGTGCCAGCAGTATCCTCGATGATTGTGCCCTAGGGTGACCGGCAGCTCCACCACGTGCACAGCTCACAGCACCGGCACCGGCACCCGCACCCAGCACCGGCACCCCGCACCAGCAACAGCATGCCTCCACCATGTGCATCGAAAACGCGCACCAGCACCTCGAGAACTGAGGATGAGCCAACGTACCATAAGGTACCCACCAGTGGCCGCCTTCAGATCGTCCCGACAGAACGTGTCCGTTGCACCCGACTGCACATCTGCTCGCAATCCCTGTCTCCCGGCGGCGGGTCGCTCTGAGTTAAAAATGTAATTGAGTTGAAAAATCAGGTACATTCAGGTACCATTTATTCAGTAAGAAGGCTTCCCACAGGTTCAGAAACAGTTTGGCCGTCGCTTGGCATTGTGTTGTTTTAGGTTGGATACAAACCCTTTTCGTTGGAACAGGAGCGTCTTTCCATGGCACACAGGAATAACATGTGAAGGCCTTTGTTTGTGTTTGTTTGACACATTGTCCGTCATGAAGTTGGCAACTTGCACGTGCCGTTGTTTAATGTATATGTGTTGTGTGTTAATTTCATCTCAGTTTCTTAGGTACTTGATCCTATCGCCAGGCCTAGTGCGAACATAATGCAACCCCGCTGTTGCCAACCGATGCCATCCATGGAGTATTTTGGAGTAATTTTTGCACCCTTCACTTGGGCGGGGGATAGTGATTATTTTCGCTTTCAATCAGCTTTGCACGTCCACCATTACATGGCATGTGTCCAACACTTGTTTTAGCGTGGGTTAATTTTCGGACCTTTATGACAGACAGGCCTGACAGGGCTAGAGTGAAACTTGTTGACATCAAATTCATTAGCCTTATCACGAAGGCTAGCGAAGCTAGCTGGAGGCGATAGCAAGGTTTCTTTCGATCGAGTGCAAATCCTAACCCCTGATTTTTCAGGTCGAAGCCCCCCCCCCTCACTCTCACACTCTCACTCTCTCTCTCTCTCTCTCTCTCATCTCTCTTTTCGCTCTCTCTCTCTCTCTCTCCTCTCTGTGTCTCGTGTTTCCGTCTCTCTTCTCTCTCTTCTCTCGCAGGAGGATCCGGGCAAATAGCCACATATAAAGGATTCTTCACCTGGGAGTGTAGCTCCATTGGTCAGTCGGAGCCGCATCACCTCCAACTTGAGATCCTTGAAGTGGAAGACGACGGACAGCAGATCGCACCTAAGACGACCGTTGGTCCGGGTTGAGGTGCACACGAGGTGGCTGAAACTGTCTTCCTCCCACCTTCCCTCCCTCCTCCCTCTTCGCAAGTTCGACTCCGTCCTGTCGTCGCTCTTTGGCATGCGGTTAGCGTTGCGTATCTTGCGGCCGCACTCGCTCACTCTCACTCTCATTCTCACTCTCACTCTCACTCTCTCGCATCTCTCTCTCATCTCTCTCTCATCCATCTCTCTCATCTCTCTCTCTCCCATCTCTCTCTCATCTCCCTCATCTCTCCCTCATCTCTTTCTCATCTCTCTCTCATCTCTCTCTCTCCTCTCTCTCTCTCTCTCTCTCCTCTCTGTCTCTCGTGTTTCCGTCTCTGTTCTCTCTTTTCTCTCGCAGGAGGATCCGGGCAAAGAGCCACATATAAAGGACTCTTCACCTGGAATCGTTTGCCCCGCCCAACTTGTGCAAGGCGTCCTGCCTTCTGCTACTCCGGACGACTGCCTCCAAAAAGAGCGCCGTGTTTTTTCCTACCTCGCTGCCCTCCACTTTCCCATTCTGGAGCGCTAGCTTTCGCCCCCCCCCTTGGCCTCAAGTTTGGATGCTTTTAGGCGTTTTTTCCCCCAGTGAAATTTGCAAATCCTTGCCCCTTCTCCCAACCCAGCCAGCCTGGATTTTGCTCTTCCCCCAATGGACTTCGGTTCATTCGTAGGCGGTCGCGGCCGAAAAGGCCTACGAGCGCCAAAGAAATGCGATGCTGTAGAAATCATAAAGCTCGGCATGGCTTTGCTGCATCAAACGGGGGGATCATTCAAGGCCACCCAAGCAACAGCCAGGATTGAGAGCCCTTTCCACATGAAATGGAAGAGCGTAGACCCTTTGAAGAATCTGGCTGAACTTTACGGCGTCACGCCGCAATTGGGCATGATTTGGATGCCCCTGCCGCGTTTGTACCTAGCTCTTATTATTATCAAACGTTTTTGAAAAAATAAACATAATTTGCACAAATGTCCGTGGAACCCATTTTTAAGAGGGAAAACAGCATTGCAAAAAAACTTGATGTTATTATTTTTTTATATGTACTCATGTGTGTCTAGGCGTGTGTGTTTTGTTGCATTTCCCTGGAAAATCATGAAAATCAATTATGAAGATCTGGATGCAAATGGTTTTTAATTATGTTGTTCTTGTCTCTTTGTGGTTTGCCCTGCGTGTTTTGTGTTTGTTCCTTGAAAGGTTTGGATGGAGCGTTCCCCGAGGCGACCACTTTCTCTCAAGGGCCTGAGCATCATCCAGCGACAGGCCACGTTTTACCCCCCAACAGGCCTTTCCTCCCGGGAGGGCGCCGGGCAACCCAACTGGCTGCCAGAAACATTCAATCCCTTGCGTGTGAACTTGCGGGGCGCTGGTGGTTTTCAGTGCCGGGCCCCGTTCCACGGTTTGGCAGTGGGTTGTCCGAAGTTAAGTTGTGGTGCCCACCCTTCCGCCCCAGCCCCGCTAGCTCCCTTAGTTTTCTCTTTTTCATCTAGCATTTGGGTGGTCTATCGCTACCTCCTTGCGGTCATCACTAAAGCTAGCTGTAGCTAGCTGGAGTCTGTCTTGCTTTAGCAAGGAGGGTGGAAGCCGATACCTGATTTATCAGGCTTAACCCCCCCCCCCCCGCGGGTTCAACTCCACCCTTCTCCTCAGTACCTGCTGCTGCTTGGTCTCTTGCTGCTTGCATGCTGCCGTGCTGCTGATTGCCTTTGGCTGCTTGCTGGTTGCTGCTGACGTGTTGGGGCATGAGCCAAGAGTTCGGTGGGGGAAGCGGGTGATGAAGAGTTTGGTGATGTTTGGTGGGAGCATGGCAGAAGTTGAGTTTTCCCTTTGTGCATCTTATATTAACTATACTATTGTCACGCTGCCCCAACTTGTGTCATGGTACGGTTGATGCCATTCATGCGGTTCAGGGTTGCTGCAGCTGCTGCTGCTGCTGCTGCCTTTGCTGCTGCTGCTGCTGCTGCTGCTTGGCTGCCTGCTGCTGCTGCTGCTTGGCTGCTTTGGCTGCTGCTGCTTGGCTGCTGCTTGGCTGCTGCTGCTGCTTGGTAGCTGCTGCTGATGCTGCTGCTGCTTGGTGGCTCGTGGCTCCTGCTGATGCTGCTGCTGCTTGGTAGCTGCTGCTGATGCTGCTGCTGTTTGGTAGCTGCTGCTGCGGTGCTGTTTGGTAGCTGCTGCTGCTGCTGCTGATACTGCGGCTGCTGCTTGGTAGCTGATGCTGCTGTTGCTTGGTAGCTGCTGCTGCTGCGTAGCTGCTGCTGCGTAGCTGCTGCTGCTGCTGCTACTGCTGCTGGTTCCTGCTGCTGCTGCTGCTGCTGGTTCCTGCTGCTGCTGCTGCTGGTTCCTGCTGCTGCTGCTGCTGGTT